GCATTCTCCTAAAAACAAACTACGCAAACGTTCACTAGATGGAACTACTAACCTTTTAACTCCGACCTTATCAAGATAGAGAAGCCCATCCACCATCACAAACTCACTTTCCGTGGCCTTGTCTTTTGCCTGAAGTTTGCGCATGATGTCCATCGTGACAGGGTCTTCCTGATAGGCTCCCACCATCGATTGAGTTACTTCTTCCGATACACCAAAGTCAGAAACTAGCGCCCCTAGGTAGTCTGCCCTACGTGATATCGCATCTGCAACCTTGTTGTACTCTCCCTTCAGATACTCAAGCTTGAAGTCATATTGATCTATGACCTCAATCCATCGCTTGAGTGCATCAGAAAGAGCCGGTTGAGTCTTGATCCATTTGAGTGTCTGATGGTCAGTTCTCAAGTAGAAGAACCGTCCCAACAAAAAATGTCTCCAATGGACAAGTGCCTTGTAGAGAGCATAGAGTTCCCTTTCGTAGGTGGACTTTGCCAATTTCTTCGATGGCATTTTCTTGCTCATGTACTCAATCGGTCTCAACTTCTTCCCATCCTGTTGTGCCAACACTGCGCCAATGCCATATGGGCTTGCGTCAGTGGTCACTATAAATGGCTTCTGAGGATCRRGGACCATGAGAACTTCATGATTCATGAGTGCATGCTTCAATCGCTTGAAAGCACCCTCGCACTCATCACTCCAGTCCCACGGCGTGTCAAGTCAAGTTAGATCCGTCAAAGGAGAGGCCACTGTAGACTAGTTCTTTACGAAGTTCCTATAGTAGCCGCACATTCCTAAGAAAGATCTGACCTCAGTGACAGTCTGAGGTCGTGGCCAGTYTCGAATACTAGCCACCTTCGCATCTTCCGGCCTAATCCCTTCCGCGGATACTTCATGACCCAAGTATAATATCTTAGTGCGACCAAACTCACACTTCTCTAGGTTGACCTTATACTTGTGCTGTCGCAAGAGTGAAAAGTACAGTCTCAACGTGTTGTGCATGTTCCTCGGCAAACTTACTAAAGATCAGAATGTCGTCAAGGTAAACCACGACAAACTTATCTAAATGGTCATGAAAGACCCGATTCATAGCGTGCTGGAATGTTCCCGGCGCATTGCAAAGACCAAAGGGCATCACTACAAACTCATGCAACCCCATATCGAGTCCGAAAAGTTGTCTTGTGTTGGTCCTCAGGTCTTATAGCGATCTGATGATAGCCGGATTTCAAGTCTATCTTGCTATAGTACTTGCATCCCTGCACCCTATCCAGTAGGTCGTCTATAAGAGGTAGAGGCTTTGCGTTCTTCACGGTGATGGCATTGAGGCCTCTATAATCAATGCATATCCTTAACGTACCCCCCTTCTTCGGTACGAATAACACTGGAGATCCGTAAGGGGAAGTACTAAGCTGGATCCATCCCTTCTCTGTCAGCTCTTTCAGTTGTCGTCGAAGTTCATCTAACTCGGCGGGAACCATCCTATAGATCCTTCCCTTTGGGGTTTTACTCCCTGGGATGATTTTTATAGCGTGGACAACTTCCCTTTCTACGACCCCTGTGGGCTCTTCGAACAGATCAGGGAACTTAGCAACGACGCGTTCTATCTCTGGGGGTGTTTTAACGGCCTCCCCTTTCTCAAAGACATTCACAAGGTACATACCTTCCTCTTGGTTCTGTTTGTATTAGTTATAGAACGTTGATGCGCACAAGCAGCCATAGGTATCTATTATGCTACTGGCTTTGAACTTAGTCAATTTGACTGTCCTGCCATCGGGCAACTTATGCTTTAGCACCTTCTTATCCCAGTCGAACAGGGGCTTAGCAACCTCAAGGTAGTACATGCCTAACAACATGTCGAATGGTAAATCGTCGCTAACCAAGAACGAAATCTTATGATTAAGTTCTCCTCCTCCATAGGAGAAGGTACAGACTACGTCCTTTATATAGTCTGTGACAATCATGCGCTCCTTGTTGGCCAAAGTAGATGCTACAGGTCTACTAAGCTGTCGTAGCCGGTCTTGTAGGTGCAGCATTTCCGAACAGTCGCGACTTATGTAATTCAGCGTGGAACCTATGTCTATGAAGGCACCATATTTGTGGCCTCCTACATCAACTTCCACCACGAAATGTTCCCCTCTGGAACCTTTCCTTAGCGCCACCCAAGATTCGCAAGGGTCCTTGTTTGACCGCTCACTTTCTAGATCTTCTAAGGCTTCAGACACATCCAACGTACAGAGCATAGTTTGGTCAGGATGAGTCTGCGGGGTGACTAAAGAGTCATTAGCTATGGCCTGCTCATGAAGTGGGGAGGGTATCAGACCCACTTCAACTTGAGTAGAAGCAGCTAAAACTTCCACCGGCCTCACATGTTTCCCGAGCTAGAAGCCTGGGAAGAAGATGCCCCCATCTTAGGAGGTATCTTCTGCGTGACCTTTGCGTTCTGGCGCTTGTGCTGGGTGTGTCCGTATTCACCACAGTTTATACAAGCGCCACGCACTCGGCGGTCCCGCCACACGTCTTGATCAGAACCTGCCTTGACCCAATCAGCCACTTTGGTCTGCTTGGAGGCGGCCTTCCCTTGACTCTTTGGATGGCCCTTACCTCGGCCACCCGCCTTAGCCTTTACTTCTACGGCGAGGGTGCTACCCTCAGCGATCTCCTCACCGTCGTACTCTGAAACGTCCAGCAGGTCTGTGAGCTCATCGATCTTTGTTTGAGTCCCATCGGACTCAACCATCATCAATTTAGCCCCCTTCTTCTTCCATTCCTGCGGACTCTTCTTCTTCCTCGCATCATTCTGAGAGGGTTGAGCATTTCCTAGCGTAGCCTCTAAGTCTAAGGCTTTTCTAGACAATGTCTCAAACGAATGGTACTCGAGGCGAGCCTCGCTGGCCAGCAAGTTCCTGAGGTTCTCTGGAAGACATCTAACAAACGTAGTCAACAGGAACTAGTCACTGTAGTTGATGCCTGGAAGGACGATTAGGCTTTCAATGGTAGTCGTAAGTTCTCTGACCGACTTAAACTTTCGTTGGTCTAGTCTGTTTATCGCATCAGTGGCCAATTGCGCCTGCTGAGGATTGTGCCAGCGAGCTTCTACCATCTCCAAGAACTGGTCTAACGTAAGGGGCGTAGCCCAGTCCGCCATGTGTCTCCCAAACCCAACCTTTGTAACTACACCATCCAACCATTTGGCTGCCTTAACCTCAAGGTAAGATGYCGCAGTTATCACCTCCTCCTCCTGCAAGGTCCTCTTCGCCTTTACCCAAACCGGGACTGTTCTCAACCAAGTGTTGAGCTCTTCGTCCTTCTTCTCACCTGAGAAGGAAAGAGGTGGTTTCATAGGGGTCTTAGGGTACCATTGACCTTGCGGCTGTCCTTGTTGAGGAACAGGTTGTTGTGGTGGTGTAGCAACCACCACTGAACCCGAAGAAGAAGAAGCAACAGTTTGTGCGGCTGCTGCAGACGTGCCACTTGGTTGTGTGCCAGCTTGTACGGGAAATGGGCCTGACATCGCCGTTAACGGCAACAGCGATTGTGCTCGTGGCCTAAGTCCTGGCCTTTGCAAAATGTCCAGGATCTGGTCTAGAGTGTTTTGCATAAAGTCCAATCTGCTGTCCACGTGCGCATGCAACGACAGCATATTGTTCTTCAGTACTGTCATTTGGTCAGACATTGCTAACTCATCCAAACCCTCTAGCTCAGCCTTGTTAGCCTCTAACGTATCAAGCCTGGTTGTTCTGTTTTTTATCTCTCTTTCTCTGTCGGTAGCTTGTTTCAGTTCCCTCTCTAATCMTTCAAGGATTCTTTTGACCTGTTGGAACTCTCTAAGCTCCCTTTCGCGAGGAGTCAACGGGCTGAACTGTGAGACCACCATTTGACTTGTAGACTGCCGAGAACCTACTGAACTCGAAGTACCCGTGGACCCTGTGGGCATTCCCAACATGGTCCCATTAGTCCCAGACGAGGACGCAACAGAGGATACTGCTGCAAAAGACATGGCTTCTGCTCTGGCTGTTGCTGCAGCCTGTTCCCTAACTGCGGCGTTCGCTGTTTCCCTAGTTGCTGCTAGTGCACGGGCTCTGCGTTCGGCACGAAGCCGTCTTTCTTCTCCCGGTTCTAGGGCCTGGAACACATGCGGGATCCTACGTGATCCCGAACGTGTCAGTCTTGCATCATCAACTCTCTCCTCATCGACGTCTAACCCTTTCATGAATTAGACAAACATTATCTGCACTAGAACCCCCTAGTGGAGTCCTACCACGGCATCTGTCTGACCGACACCTAATTTTCTAAAAATAGTTGTGTCCGGCAGGTCCCCTACTTTACCGATCAAATGGCAATCTACAACATTCACAACAGTTTGTCAACATAGTCTAGATGTATCTTTATTGGTTCACTTACAGCGGCATTAGATAGAACTGGCTATGGTAGTATACAACAGTCCTACTCTAATCTGTCTGTGAGGTGTTAGTAGTCTGTCCACCAACTAATCAAGAATACAAAAGACCATGTTGCAGATGTATGAATAGTGGATATGGTTATGATTCCAGTTTAGCATCAATCAGAACCTACCCTTCCCCTCAATCCACCATACCGGTAAGCATCATTGAGCAGCGGTGTCTTCGTGTGTGTTTTCGGCCCACCCCTGTGCCCAAGTCCTTGTCGAGCAAGCCAGCCAGTCCACTCTTATTTACCCTCGTACGGAACGAGCCTTACACCCGGATGATCTGGCTGATCAAATGGAATATTAAGAGCGCCCCCATCTCTTCAGAAATTATTTAACTTCACAGTCACGACGACGATCACAGCCAGATTCAATCCGAGTCCCCAACCAGAAATGTTTATAGACGGTCTGGTCAGCGTCTCACAAAAGGCTGGCACACCCGGAAGGACTTCTATTCAACGCAGCAAGTGCCAAAATGGACAGCAGCCAGCATGCATGACCTACTCCCATTGGGCTGGCATGGTGACCGTGACCCAGTGCTTCGACCAGGGCCCTTCAGAGGCACCGCACTTTCTCCTTCCAGATGCTTCTGGGAAGATTGTCGTCTCTCAAGGTAGTGCGCACACGACACCTCACCAAAAGAGAGGACTCTCAAGTTGGACTCACTTCCTCACGGTAAGAAGAGATTGAGAGAGTAGATAAGGTAAGGGA